AGAGAAAGAAAATAAAAATTAATATAAAAATGATACAGTATATAGTATGGTATTGTTATGTATTGCTTAATAACTGGTATCAATTTTTATTTTACTTAGAATTTGTCTATTAGTAAAAAGTTTTGTATTTACAGAATAATTTCTAAGTCAGCATTATGACAAAAAAAATGGCAGAATTGATCAAATTGTCCTATAAATAAAACCAAAAATCTTTAAACAATCCAGCAAATTCCTAGAAACTCGCAGACCCTGAGCATATAAAAATGGCGGTTTTTTGTTTATCGATAAGGAGGGCACACGCATTGCACCAGCATCTGCGACACTTACAACGAATTGGAATATATCCGAAACATAGCAATACAGCAAGGATACCGTAGAGAAAGAACAGATGCTCTCTTTGTGAATTGTCAGAAGTGGCAACCCTTGCAGGGAGGGAATCAGTATAAAGAAAGAGTCATGCTCAATTACATACCGTTCCTCAAAGGAATAGTTAAGAAGGTTACCAGAAATAAGAATATACAGATAGTTTACAAGCGTAATCCCACCATACACAGGCTCTTAAGGAACGATAAAGGCAGTTACGAACGCAATGCGATGGCAGGGGTATACTCTATACTGTTAAAAGACCATAGATTTAATTCCAGTTTTGTATACATAGGAGCAATCATCAGAAACTTAAAGAAAAGAATTACTGAACATAAGCACTCGGTGAATAAAAACATAGACTCTATGGTGCTTGCTGCTTTTGCCAAGCAGAAGAATATTGAGATCTTCTGGGATCAGGCATTGATCATCAAGGCTACAAGATCCAGGCAAGCCGTGAAACATCTGGAAAAACTAGAAATTCACAAGGCGCAGTTGCACACAAACTGTATTAATCATAGGGATGCTGACGGATTGTCATCGGCATGGAAATCCTTCTACAATAAGTTGACGTAGTTTATATAAGCAAGAAGGTTAATTAAGATAATTTTTACTGGATGTATATATTTTATTTTATTTCTTTGTTTTGTTTTAATTATCTTGTATAATTTTTGCAATTGTTTAAGCTTGTTAAATGTTAACGTATATTTATGTAACCGCTTTTTGAATTTTTATTTTACGTAATTTCGAATTCTTCATTTGATTCAAATTGATAACTGAGGACGATCGCTTAAAGCATTCGAAAGCGATTAAGATATTAAAAAACGATTTGCTGGATTGTTTAAAGGTTTTTGGTTTTTATTTATATTGTAGTTCTAGTAAGAAAGTATTGTATTTAAATTGTCCTATTACAAATTTTCTATTCTTTTCTGTTTTTGAGATATGATATAGAAATACAGTGGTACTTTGAAACTCAAACATTTCAGAAATCAGACAACTTGGAATCTGAACATTTTTACAAGGAAATTTTGCCTTAAAAGTCAAACTTTTCTTGGAACTTGAACAAAACAAAGACTTCCATACTATATGGTATATGATATCTGTATGGATATGCATGATGCAGCACTGCTGCCAGATTGGGATAATTTTTATTTTGGACAACTTGCTATATTTTTGGCTACAATGAGAATCTGATACTTTTATAAAGCCACTGATATGAGTTTGGTATATGTATTGAATAAGTCCAGTCATACTCAGTTTATCTTTTGCATTTATTGCATTATTTACTTTTTCATTGTTTTTAATCTATTAGTATTATTATTTTCATTGTTTCCTGCATTAACTGGGGCATTTACTTAAGTTATTTTAGCTTCAATTATTATGTTTTTGAACTAAATGGGCATTTTTGGGGTTTGGGAACAGATTAATTCATTTTACATTATTCCTTATGGGAAAAATTGCTTTGGAAATCTAATGCCCTCTAGGAACAAATTGAATTTGAGTTTCAAGATACCATTGTATAGTAAATAACTTCCTGTTTTCATGACATGGAAATATTTGAACAATGTTAACAAGTTTATCACTTTAAATATAGCTTTGGGAAAGTTTTGGTTAATATTATTAAATATGCCAAATTTTGATTTTATAATTTAAAATATTTTCTTATAATTTTAAATTTTAACAAAATTGGTCCTGAGTCATGCAATATTAATTATCTTAGTTATTAGTTCTTCCTTCATATGCAGATATACACCTGAATATATTGAGAAATAAAGAAATATACAGAAAATCATTAAATACTAACTGGTTGCACCAGTAATGACTGTAAAATTAAAGAAAACTATCTTTAGCATTATTAAGCACCATAATATATAATTTTATATTTTGTAACCATCATATTTAAGTGCAGAAAGTGTAAAATAAAATGTTTATCTTTATAATTCTATGCATTATTTCTTTTATTTTGGGTTAATCATACATTGAATAGTTTTATCTTTTTATTTACCAACAGATTTAAAGAAACAAAAATGCAACCTTACGAAACAAACAAATCCGTACTCACAAACTGTGATGATGAATGTTTGATGCAAATTAAAAGTTTGAAAATTAGAGAAGTTATATTAATTAACAAGTTTACATAATATATTTGAAAGCAAAATAGCTGTGAACAATATAAATACATTAATAAATACAGTATTAATATTTGCTCATTCTATTAAAATTAGTAGATATCAATACGTTTTTAAACAGTTTGGTTTTAATAATTTAAATGTTGTTTTAGCAGTTGCAATTTTAAATTTGGGTCAAAATTAGGAAGGAATAAAATCAAAATAATTCCTATAATAATTGTATTAATTCTGTTATTAAATTTGAACAACTTGTCTGTAAATTAGAATAATACTTTAAAAATTGCCTACAGAATAAAGTAAAATTTAAAACGTTTTCAGTTATTTATTCTGAATGTTTTTTATGAAAATTCAGTTTTCAATTTATGATCGTAAAATATACTTCACGCCAACATTCAAATAAATAAAATAATTAACACTTCGATGTTGTGGCATTACAAATTGCAACTTTTTATATTTTAGACGTATTCACTAGCACTTTCAATAGCTTATAGCTGCCATCTTCAGGCGAAAAATCGAATACAATTATTTTTGAATGGACTTTTGAAATTATCTAATGCACGTGGATAGAATTCAGAAAAATTGATTTTAAAATTGAAAGATAATTTGGAATTTATAGAAATGCGCTGCAAATGATGTAATATCCCCAAAAATACTTAGAAAGCAATAGAGTTGTATTTGATTGTGCTACAAATGAGAAAGCAAAATTATAATTTAATTGTTTGAATAATGTTATCCACAGTTGTGGGATTTCTAAAGCTGGTGTATTGCATGGTGTTACAGTGGATATATAGAGGTTCTCCCATACGAATAATTCTCTTTGATTGTTGCAATACTTAAGTAATTTAGTTTGTGCTCAAAACGGCAGATAATTCTGGTCAAGTACTTTTTAGCTAACTCCATTGCTGGTCTATTGTTTATATTCTCTTATTGGTAATATTCTCTTGATGTTCCATGATACGGGACCATAGCTTTCTGGTAGTAACCCATATGCAGATAGTTTTCTTGTCTGACAGTGCATGTTTTAACAGAATTTTGTAGACCCACGATTTTTCATTTAATGTAAGAGTATCTCTTTCGTTGCATAACACTCTTCTTAGTATTGTGAGGCTATAGGCAAAGTAAAAGCCATACTTTCTAAAAAGACAGGCTATTTTTAGTGATATAGGACCCAAAAATGTTATCAGCAGTTGTATTCTCCTTAGATCATCCTTGTTGTGGAGGAAAGACTCTGGAAATAATTTGCTTTTAACCTGGTTATAGAGATAACAAAACCTGGATCGAGAATAACCAGCATTGTGCACCGCTCCATTAATAAGTTGTAATTCCTTGTCTATTAATGTCTGGTGGATTGGAGAAGGAGCACCCTCTGAATGAGAGAGGTAATAACAGAATTTTCAAAGTGTGAGGTTTGGAAAGCAGTTGTAGGGATAATATGTGGCACCCTGTTGTTTCTATGGTGTATTGAAAATAGTAGATTGAGATATCTATGTATTTATAGATCTAAGGAGATTCTGGTATTTTGTTCTTTCACTGTAAAGTTAATCAAAGAATATGTAGAACCTAACATTTGAATAAAATTATGTAATTCATCTGCAGAGCCATCCCATGCAAGCAATATGTCATCTACATATCGTAAAAACATGATTGGATAGTGGATAGCCAAAGGGCATTGAAAATATGATACTCTATATTCCTCATGATGAGCTCTTCCAAAATGGGTGATTGGGGGAACCTATTAGCACTCCTTGAGTCTGTTTATATTTTGCCATTAAATTGAAAGTAATTGTTTTGTGATGAGAAAGAGAGCTTCTTGTGAACGTAACACATTTGATACTGTTATTTTTTTTTTTTTTTTGTTTGGTGGTTTTAGGCCCTTTACTGCTCAGAGAGCACAAAAAGGCCATGTAATAAATGTAATAATGTGATACTGGATATCCAGAGTTAAGTAGCAACGCATTTACAAGCATGACGGCTTCAAAATGTGGCAAGTGGCAAGTGAAGTGTTAATTATTTTATTTATCAGTTTTTAGTTTCTTATAAAAGGCTAAAAGTCAGTTTAAGTTTGATCCTGTATTATAAGCTATTTCTTTATTGTTTGTATTTTTTTTAACTGATGTACAAAATGGATTTTAAAATAACAAAAAGGTTGATAAATATGGGACAAGAATAAGAAAAGAGTATTTCAAATTAAAATGTGAATTTTTTAAATTTCAACAAGAACTTGATTTAATTACAGTCTAAATCTCCATGTAAAGTTTTAATAAATACATTATTTTGTATGATGGTTTAAATAGCACAGTATCTGCTTTCTATGAAAAATGGCATGAACTCTAATCTGAAGCATGTATTATCCTTTAATACTTGCTGATAAATAAATTTATATTTTTTGTTTTGGTATTTTCCACTTCTATAAAATATGAATTGAGAAAAATTGTTAATGAATTCATAAAATGTTTCAAAATAATATGAAATTATTAATCAGAATATTTATTTAAAATATATTTCTAGGTTCACAATGCAACAAATAGTAATCAGAAGGAGAAATATGAAGCTGATCTCAAAAAAGAAATTAAAAAGCTACAAGTAATAAATAAATTATTATTTTATATTTTATTTAATAATATAGCTAAAGGAAGTAGAATATTAATTAAAATTTTATTTTGCAGAGGTTACGAGATCAAATTAAAACGTGGGTAGCATCAAGTGACATTAAAGATAAAAGAATGCTAGTGGAAAACAGGAAACTGATAGAGACAGTTAGTTTTATTTATTTATTTATTTATATTTTATATCTGTAATATCAAAATATTTACAATTCTCTCATGTAATTTATACTTCACAGAAACTTTGGAATTGTCAAGAATAAAAATGTCAAAATTATTAAATAAACAAATTAAGTTCTGAATAAAACTACCAATTTATTTTAATCAGTAATTATTTAACATTCTTTAATTTTTTTCTGTTGAATTTAAAATATAAACAGAAACACATGTATTATATAAAATTTTTCACTTTTTTTTAGATTGCCATCTGATTTATCATAAAAAGTTTCAAAAAACTATCCACTCATTGTTTATCTGTTATTGGAAAATCATTCACACACTTTTTGGCAGATTGATTTATATATCTGTTTTAGAAGATTGTAAAAACATTGAGAATGTTTAACTTTTTATTAAATTTCAGTCATCAAACACAAACTTAAAATTAAAAAAAACTTTATTTTTTAAGTGTGTGTTTAATGTAATAATCAATTGTCACTTTATCAATCAATGTACTGCATTGGAGATATTTTTTAATATCTATTTTGCATTTGACATAAGAATGAAAACAAAAATACAATTACTGATGGAATTGTGAAAGTATTTAATAAATAATTATTTAAATTGTTTATGTTATTTGGTTGATATTTATTACAGATTACAAGATTTGATTCATTTAATTCATATTATTTGATATTTATAGTTATTTTTAGAATCATATTTTTAATTTTATAAATATGATTGCACTTTTTATTGAAAATAATAATAATAATTTTTAATGATTATGAACTTTATAAACTTCGAAATATGCAAGATTATTACATTGCCTTTAAATAAATTTTATTTGAAACAGTCATACAGTTACTGTTATATTTTTGTGTTTCATTTCTTAAATTGTAAATCTGTTTTTCCAAAATAGTATGAAACTAAAACAGAATTTTTGTTTAAAATTTAATCCATTTTGATTTACAGGTATCCCTCGTACAGCACAGTTTCACTGTAACATGGTTTGAAAATTGCAGATATCCCTCATATAACACAACTTTCGATTTTGCTCTAACACTGTTTTGGAAATCCTCCATACAAAATTTCACAATTTTTAAGTGTAAACGTTGTTATTCAATATTTTTTTTTAATTCAATAAGCAAATATCTCAATTCAGATTTGCTCGTGGATTTTAGAATATTGAAATTTTCAAATTATTTTTGCTTTTTGTTGGGTTTACTTTAATGAAAACTGATAGTGCAAATTTTTTCTTCCTTGTCCTTCTTATCAGTTTTCATTAAACCTGTCTAAAGGCACAAAACAAAGTGAAAATTTTAATATTCTAATGTGAGGATTCAGACTCTTTAGGGGAGTTTTAGAAGTTTATACATTGATAAAGTTGATTTTTTTCATTATTTTTTTTTTCTGCCTGTTTTGTTGTTGTTCGACCTTTTGACTCATCAGTGTACTGCATCACTTCAAAAGGTGACCTTAGAAACATCTTGGAAGTTCTCCCCTCACAGCAGGAGCTTATTCAGTTTTACTTTCGATACAACATACAAATAAGTGGCCAAATAGCAAGAACCTTCACCAGTTACATGTTAGACGGGTGCAAAGAAGGGTCAAATACAAGGATAGACTGTACAATGAGAAACCATATCAAAGTACCAATGATGGCTGGTTATCACCCAAGTGATGATTGCTTCATTGTCGGCGGTTGGGTCGGTGCAGCAGCGGTGGATTCGCTGATGTTTTGACTCTGGCCGCCTGTACCATTAATTTAAGAAAGTGACAGCTTTCTCATTTACAAAATCAAAAGAACTGTTCGATTAACGTAAACAACGCTAGCCGCAAAGGTGATTGCATCAGATTTTCCCCAGATAATTCCCACACTGGGCCGTGTATAAAAAGGGGTTGCATTTGCACCTCCAGACGGACACATACAAGGGACACCTACAAGGCAGACACATCAAGGGCAGACACTGCTAGGCAGACCTTACCAGCGGACAGCCGGGAGAAACCCACGAGCGGACAGAAAAGGACCCTCAACCCATACCTCCATATCGTCCGTTGCTCCAGGGGAGACTACGACTTGGGAACTGCCAATCCAAGAGTGTTTTACCAAACTCCCATACGATGAGAGCGGGAATCTGTGAATTAATCAACTAACCATATTTCAGTACTCTCTCTTTCGTTCCTCATTACTCTCTTGATCATAGCTTAAGATTTGACAATATTAAGTCTTTAGAGTTAGTTCTTAGATAGTTAGGAAGAGTGTTATTAGATGAATTATTGTAACCATTTTGATTTGTGTTGTTTGTATAAGTAGTTAATTAACTATGTTTATTTTATATTTAATTATGAGTTATTTTTGAGTGCAATCGGTACCTTGTCACGATCTTGCTATCCCTCCCCACTCACATTTTTAGCCCTCCTATAAAGCCATCTCTGACTGAGCCGCTGGTAAGCAGGGAGAAGCTTGACGCTCTACCCCCTCAGTTTCACACTAATATCTGCAGGCAAATTTGAGATAAAACGCATGCTTACTTGAATACAAAAGTATTAAATAAAGGAGTTTGCACTTAAAAGTTGTGACATTTTTTACAGAGAATTATTTCTCCAATTTTCCAACCATATTAAAGTGAAATTGTGTTGAACATGCGATATGCATAATTCTAAATGACATATTAAATTTGGTTTTAGGTTTATTTAATTACTTTAAATTAAATGAGATTCAGTTTAATAGGGGATAATATATTTTAAAGAAAATAAATAAATAAAATGAATGCATTTCTTTTTTAGCAAAAGGAATATTAAAATATATTAATTTTAATTAACCTTGTTTTTTAAAAATAGCATATGTTCAAAGTTTACAAGCATCTTCCCCTGTATGCATTATGAGCCTTTTTTTAATTTTTTTTACTAAAAACCTATTTGTATGGTGTTATATCCTTTCTGAAACTCATAAAGCATATGCCTGATATGCTTTTTGACCAAATACATTTAAACCTGATATTATTTAAATAAAATGTGAAGTAAAATGTTTAAAATAAGCTTCTAAACAAAGAACACAATCCCATATTAGCAATAATGGGTTAATTTATTATTGGCACTTAATTGTGTTATTTTTACCTTAAATTATGTGTATTTGCTGTTTTATGTTTATCAAAATGGGTATTGTTTAGGGTCTAGAAATGGATTAATTCACTTTTCATTATTTCTAATGGAAAATAATTAATTCAGAGTCTAAACATCCTCTTGGAATGAATTAAATTTGAAGTATGAGGCACTACTGTATTTTTCTAATCAGATGTTTTTGACAATTAATTTCTTTATCATCATCATCATCTTAACAGAAATTAGAATATTACATGTAACTTATTACATATAATATTTTAATTACATGTGATAGTCTTTACACATTTGGTATAATTGCCCTATTTTTTGTTAAGTTTCAATGTATGTACAGTAGAGCATCGATTATCCGACTCAATTGGGGACTCAGGTTGGTCGGATAACTGAAAAAATCAGATAACCAAAAAAAATGAAAAAAATACATTATTAATATAGTATATTAGTATATCCCATGTAATTAGTATATTAGTATATCGCTATTAACCAACTTTGTGTTGAATTTTCATTGATGTTAAGCTTAACAAAATTTTTTTTAAAATAATAATTGTTGCTATTGTATCGTTAAAAATTATTTTATTGTTCACAAAACAAACAACCATTCATAATTAGAAAATTAAGTCTCGTTTAAATACTGGCTTTCCTTCAATGGTTGAGCTGTGTAGCCAGCTAAAACACACAAAAATTTAACAAAAATAATATTAAAGTAGCCAAGACAAATATTGTAGTGCCACATCACTAGCGGACATTTGAAATTTGCCAACTAGAATGGTCGGTTAGCCGATGTGATGGTTAATCGGGGGTCGGATAATCGATGCTCTACTGTAATTGATTTACTGAAGGCATTCAATTTCAGTAAATTTTAATTTATAAAAGATTGAAAGAAGTGGGGAAATTTACTTCAGAGAATTCACATGTAAATTTATTTATTGGAAGTGTTTAAGCTTTCTTGTGTGATTTAAAACAGAAAAATGCTGAACAGAAATATAAATACAGTAGAGTCTCGAAAACTCGGCACTCGATAACCTGGCAGTCTGGATAACTCGGCCACACCCTGGCAGGGCAAAAAAAATCCTTAGTTAATTAATTTTCATTATAGACAGCTTTATGTCTCAAAAAGTATTTTTCTGAGGTCTGTCTTATCAGGTAAATTACTATACACAGTGTATTCATTAATTTTCATTTTCATGTAGTAAAGGCTTTTATGCCTTCATAAAGTACAGTACTATTCCTTCGTTTAAGGCTATTTGGGCAATTTATTCTCTGTTGTATTTTCAAGCAAACAATACATACAAGTACAGTACAGTATTTTCTGAGGAAACACTCATACTTATTTTTTTTTAACCCCATTCCCAATAACCTGGCATTTTCACAAACTCAGCCATCCTTCGGTCCACATTAGGCCGAGTTTTTGAGACTCTACTGTATTGTTACAAAAATTTATTTTAAATCAAGATCGAGAGCTTCAGTTATGAAATTACATGTATTTACAGATTTTAACTTTTTATAATTCATATTTAAGAATTGTTTATTTAATATATGTTTGTTTTTAAATGATAAATTACAATTACTTAATTATAGAAAGAATGTATGATATTCTATGAATTGTGATAAGTATAATATTTCAGAAAAAGAAAAATGTGTATAAACATAATGCATATTTTTCTTTTTCTGAATGTCAGATATAATAAATAGTGCATTTTATTGCTGAATAATTAATTGTAAATTAAACATTTAAAAATTTAATTTTTAATATAATCATAAAAATCAGATTTATGGAGTAGTTGAAAAAAATGCTCAATGTTGTTTTAGATTTCAAGATTCTGTTTCAGAATTTAATTAATGTTTTAAATTTTAAAGCAAATGGAAAGGTTTAAAGTTGTTGAAAGGGAAACAAAAACCAAAGCATACTCCAAAGAAGGTTTGGGAGCTGCACAAAAACTTGATCCTGCTCAGAGAGAAAAAGACGAAATTACAAACTGGTTAGCAGTAAGTATGAAATTTTTGTTTTATGATTTTTTAAAATTATATTAATAGTATCAGATTTTTTAAAGTGAAGTTTCTCTTTAACATTAAACCTTCTTATAATAATTATTTTTGAACAAATTAGAACATATATATATTTATTTTATATTAAAAATAAAAGAAAGTATTATTTTAAATAATTTGTTCATTCTTTGTATATCATTGTCAGTCAATTTCCCTTTATTTTGATTTGAATTATCATTTTATTAATATTTTTTACTTGTTAATTATATTATATGTTTAAAAGATGTTACATATTCAAAAACTATAGGGCATGTCTTTCGTATTTAATTAATAATATATTTTTTTATTTATACATCATTAAAAATATAAATTAGTTGTAATTTATTTATTTGTATTTTTAGTTTTTTTCATATTTTAATAATTGATATTTTCTTTAGTCATCAATAGAATCTCTCAATATTCAAATGGATCAGTTTGAAAGTGAAATTGAATCCTTAATGGTTGGCTTAAAGAAGAAGAAAAATGATAAGGAGGTAAAGTTTACAAAGAAAATAACAGTCTTATAATGTGTAAAAATATTTTTTCATATTTACATATTGACATTTATGTAAATTTATTTTATAATAAAAGTACTTTGTTATAAAAGAAAACAACTATATTTTTGTAAAAATATTTATAGTTTTTTTTAAACTAACATTCTGTACATATATAGAATGTTAGTTTTAAGAAGTCAGATTATATTTCAATGAAAACTTGTTTCAAAAAGTTTATTTTGTAATCTTGTATTCCATTTTCAGTTTGTTAATGTGAATATATTATTCATTAAAGTTATATATTCATATCAAATTAACCATTATAGTTTTTATAAACCAATACATTTTATAACGGTTGCCTTTTTTTAGAGGTATACAAATTTAAAATGAAATAAACACGTAAAAATAATGTTAATGGCCATGGTGTTAGCTTTATTTAAAAGATAATTTTATGCCATTAGTGTTTAAACATGCTGACGAAACAGTGTTGCCATAGGTTTGGTTTTTGAATTGGCAACACTGTTTCTAATTTAATTTAAATTTAGTGACTGTCAATTTGACAGTTGATTTGTGGTCAGTACATTTTGCCATTTCACCATGAATAGACTTACCCAGAACAGCGCTTGCAAATTGTGGAAATTTATTTTGAGAATCATGGTTCAGTTTGCCAAACTTACCGTGTGCTACATTCATTTTACAGTCGACATAATTGTCCATTCGAGCAAGTTATTCAGAAAACCATGGATCATTTTCACACTATGCACACTCTAGTTGATAATACACATCCACAAAGATGCTATACAGTGCATACAGAAGAAGTTATTGCTGCTGTGGAATGTAGTGTTGAGGAGGACCCGAAAGTCAATTTGCTATTGTGCACAGCAATTGGAGCTGTGACCATCCACTTTGTGGAAGATTTTGCGGAAATATCTTGGCTTACGAGCTTACAAGATCCAGCTTGTTCAAGAGTTGAAACCATGTGACCATTATGCATGCCACACGTTCGGTGAATGAGCCAAAAACAATATTCAGCTTGATCTTTTTCAACGCAAAATTTTGTTCAGCAATGAGGCTCATTTTTTTGGTTGAATGGCTATGTCAATAAGTAAAATTACCAAATTTGGAGTGGAGAAAACCCAGAAGCCTTTGTTGAGACGCCCTTACATCCATTAAGTATCACTGTTTGGTGTGCTTTATGGGCAGATGGAATCATTGGCCCATATTTCTTTAAAGATGATGCTGGCCAGAATGTTACTGTCAAATGGAGAGTGCTATAGAGCCATGATTGCTGACTTCTTCGTTCTTCAGTTGAATGGTATTGATGTGGCAGAGCTTTGGTTTAAACAAGATGGTGCAACATGCCACACAGTGTGCGACACCATCAATTTAGTGCTGAACATTTGATGAGCGCATAATTTTGCGTAATGGACCTGTGAACTGTCCTCCACAATCATGTGATCTTACATCTATGGATTACTTTCTTTTGGGATATGTTAAGTCACTAGTCTATGCCAATAAACCACAGACATAGGACCACTTGGAAGTCAACATTTGCCATGTTATTGCCGATATAAGACCCCAGTTGCTCAATAAAGGGGTTGAAAATTGGACTTTCTGATTGCATTTCATTTGAGCCATCAGTGGTGCCCATATTGGTTGAAATCATGTTTCAACACTAATGACATAAAATTAAGTTTTAAATAAAGCCAACACTATGGCCATTAACATTATTTTTACGTGTTTTATTTCATTTTAAATTTGTATACCTCTAAAAGAACATCCTTTACTATCATTTGATTACTAAAATTGTACTGTTTCTAAATTTAATACTTAAAATTTAGTATTAATAATAATTAATCAAGTTTGTTTTATATATTTAAAAGTAAAAGTTACGGAGCTAAAATATAACATAAAACTTACTTTTACACTTGCTTGTCCATAGACATGCACATCCAAAGTAATATACAGAAGTATGATTAATCTATTTGTTTTTTATTGTGTAGTCATTATTTTTGGAACTAGGTTTACTGAAAGTAATAAAACTGTCATATAGTTACATGAAATAAATCTAACAATACTCTCCCTCTGAATGGCGTATATAAGGCTACAGTACTCTCTATGTTGATGTTGGAATGCTGTTTTTAGGCTGCAAGGCTGTAATCCCCCAAAGGGTCTAAAAGAAAACCTGAGTGTAGTGAACACCAATAATTGAGTGCCGCCACAAAAAGCTAAATGTAGAAGTTAGTGCCAAGTGGCTGTTAGTAGGAAGACATATACAGGATGTTTATAAATGAATGGTGCAGTTTTAAAAATTAATAAGAAATCTATTCATTACCTTATATAGGCAAACCTTACATCAGGGGTGGCCAACATGAGGCCCGCGGGCCGCATGCGGCCCGCCGGGAGTCGTGTTGCGGCCCGCGGAGCTAGGTCAAATGAACATAAATGTTAACTTTATTGTACATATCACCAAATGAACATTAGAAGAGTTAAGAAGGTTTGGAAGAGTTCTATGAAACGTATTTGGACAAGGATAAATATCTTGCGTTTTACAAACATGCTCTGTCAATGGTTTCGCTATTTGGAAACACTTATGCGTGTGAACAACTTTTTAGTCGTATGAAGTACATCAAATCACAAGTGAGAACACGAATTACTGATGTTCATTTGGAAAACTGTTTGCGTGTAGCGACTACATCAGTCCAGATCAATTTTGATGCACTTACTTGTTAGTTCTGTAAAACAAAGTCAGATGTCTCACTTTTAAATATTTTTAAATTGTCTAATAAATATGTTTCTTGGTTATTAAATAAATGATTCTCGGTTATGTTTTATTTTCTTCAAAAAAATAAATATACCTATTTTTTGTGTTTTTTTTACATTAAACCAGGCAAGTGTTTGACCACGATCTCACCTACTGGAAAGCAACGATGTGGTTGAAGCTGTAGCACGCTTGCTTGTTTACTTTAATTTAAAAAAAAATTAGGTGCGTGGCCCGGCAGGAAATATTATTTCTGAAATTTGGCCCGCCTGCTAAAAAGGTTGGCCACCCCTGCCTTACATCATAAGCAGTGGCAACTGTCCAAGTTCACAGGAATGTACACAAGCTTCTTAATTGTGTTCTTCACTAACACTGGATTGAACGTGGTACAACAGCAGACAACAACCTGCTCCCCTGGCCGTCCTGTTCGCCAGATTTAACACCCTGTGATTTCTTTTTGTGGGGTTTGTTAAAGACACAGTATATGTACTGTCAATGTGTGTGTCCTTTGAGGAACTGTGTGATCAGATAAAGCATGCACTGCAGACCATCACAGAGGACATGCCACATTCCATGTGGGAAGAATTTGATTACCGTGTAGATGTGTGTCGTGTGACCGTGGGTGCACATATTGAAGGATTGTGGTTAATGCGTAAAAAACTTGGACTGTTGATGCTGCTTATGCTGTAAGGTTTGCCCATATAAGGTAATAAATAGATTTATTATTAGTTTTTAAAATTGCACCATTTATTTATAAACTCCCTGTAGCTACTTAATACTAATAAAACTGAACACAACCGCAAATCTTAGTACTACTTAACAATGCGAGAAGCAAACGTCACATGACAAACCAGCCATAGTTATAGTAAATTATTCTAAATTAATAAAAAGGAAACAGATGTTAAAATTTTAGTTAAATAACTTATTACACTGTAACATACTATCAATATATAAGTTTTCGTGTTAAATTTTCAAGGGCATTTCAATGTTTTCAGCATATAATCTAGAAACAGTAATTAAAAAATATATATATATATATATACGTCATTTCTTTTCATTTATTATAATTTATATTAAATAGAAGCAGGAGAGGATAGAAGAATTAAAAGCTTGGTTAGAAAAACATCGGTATCATATAAAACAGCTAGAAACATTGATGCGAATGCTTGATAATAGTACTGTAGAAGTCGATCAAATTAAGAAAATAAAAGATGATGTTGAGTATTATATTGAATCATCACAGGAACCTGATTTTGAAGAAAATGAATTTATCTATGATGATTTAGCTTTGGAAGCTATGCAGGAATATTTAGCGAAAAGTAAGTGTTAAAATGATTTCTGAAATAGATCTTGATTATTAAAAATAGAATAGTACAATAGACAGTTATTTATACATAATAATTCTGAATTATTTATTGAATATTAAAAAGTTTAATTTCTGTGTTTTGAATTAATTTAATGCCTGTTTATTTTTAAAATAAAAATTTGATATTTTTTGTTATTATGTACAGTACACCCCCCTACAATTACGGTTCCTATAATTATGATTTCTATAAAACTGCGAAAAAATTGCGACGGTATCCGTAAAAAATGGTTAAAAAAAAACTCCTATAATTACGTAAAACGTCATCGGGCAGCTGAACTACTTTCCTGCCGTCTGTAACGCCACGCTATGGACATTTAGGCGGATAAATTGAGTTTAGTTTCGTCTGTATATATAATTATATATAAATTAGGTACTGTACATATAATTATATATTAACTTAATTTATTGTAACTTTATTATAATTATGTATATATGCTCTCCGCCGTCTAGCGCTACGCTACGGAGAGTTTAGGCGAACTATCGTCTGTACAGTATGTAAATTAGCTACCGTAAGTCTAATACAGTACTGTAATTTTATACATTTCGTGTGAAAGAAACATTCCTTATTCAACGGCGATTAAAATCTATATATATAAAAATGAATGTATGGTTGTCTGTCTGTGTGTGTGTGTGTCATTCATGCATTACCACACCGTTTATCCGGTTGGCGTGAAACTTTGGGAAGTTGTTTAATATACTCCAGCGAAGGTTTGTGGCATAGTACGATTGCCATGAAGCTTTGAAAAGTTTTTTAATTTTTGAATACA